CCAAATCTGCAAAGTTTGGTCAAAATCGCCCGACACCGCTTCTGTCGTTTTTTTTAAAATTTTGCATGATTCTCTCGCGAACTCATTTTTAATATATTTGATTAATACGATAATGACTACAATTATCTTCTTTTTTTTAAACCCCCCCCCCCCCAACATTTTCTCACGCGTTAACGGCATACAGCTTGTACTCTTTTTTAAACAAGTACGTGAGTTTGACAAACCTCAATATAAAACAATTAAAATGCTAAATAACGTATTACTTAATACTACAAATGACTGCAATTATTTGATTGGTTAAATCTGAGAATATTCAAGTTCCAAAATATTAATCTAGTCCCTATTAGATAGTATGTGCTGGATAGTTAAACCTCTATACGGTCCACAACCTTGATATACCATATTTTAAAGCTATTTGAGAAAGAGGGGCGGCCATTTTGTCTGTCAGTTTTGGGCCGATTTTCACGAAATTCGAACTCAGTCGTCCTTATGGTGTAACGGTGATATAATAATACGTTTTTTTAAATCGGATAAAAATTATGACCTCTATAGGGGTCCACAAGCTAAAAACGTGATTTTTCGTACAATCAGGGGCCATAATTAAGGAAGTTACGGTCCGATATCCGCGAATATCGAAAGAAACCGAGACCTTTGGGTTATAAACTTACATTTCAAGTTTCAACAAAATCGGATAAAAATTGTGACCTATATAGGGTCCACAACCTTGAAAAACCCAATTTTTACGCTATTTGAGAACGAAGGGCAGCCATTTTGTCTGTCAATTTTGGGACGATTTTCACGAAATTCAAACTCAGTTGTCCTTAGGGTGTAACGGTGGTATAACAATACGTTTTTTTAAATCAGATAAAAATTATGACCTCTATAGGGTCCACAAGCTAAAAACGCGATTTTTCGTACAATCACGGGCCATAATTCAGGAAGGTACGGTCCGATATGCGCGAATATCGACAGGAACCGAGATCTTTGGGTTATAAACTTACATTTCAAGTTTCAACAAAATCGGATAAAAATTGTGACCTCTATAGGGTCCACATCCTTGATATACCATATTTTTACGCTATTTGAGAACGAACGGCGGCCATTTTGTCTGTCAATTTTGGGCCGATTTTCGCGAAATTCGAACCCAGTCGTCCTTATGGTGTAACAGTGATATAATTATACGTTTTTTTTAAATTGGATAAAAATTATGACCTCTATAGGGTCCACAAGCTAAAAACACGATTTTTCGTACAATCAGGGGCCATAATTCAGGAAGTTACGGTCCGATATGCGCAAATATCGAAAGGAACCGAGATCATTGGGTTATAAACTTACATTTCAAGTTTCAACAAAATCGGATAAAAATTGCGACCTCTATAGGGTCCACAACCTTGATATACCATATTTTTATGCTATTTGAGAATGAAATGAAATGAAATGGAGTTTAACGTCCTACTGTTCTGCTCCTAACCTGGGCTAATGAAGACGGGCATAAGCCGTACAGTGTGCTATGAGGGAAATTTTGCCCGGACAGCGGCACTACGGCCTACTCTTATATCGAATTCCAACTGCCAAGGGATCTTTTACGTGCACGTCAATGTGTACACGGGACCTCGGTCTTTCGTCCCATCCGAACGACTAGACAGCTTTCCTTGTCAGCCCCTCCGTCCTGTATCACTGACAAGGGAGAACCACGCCGGAATATTTGAGAACGAACGGTGGCCATTTTGTCTGTCAATTTTGGCCGATTTTCATGAAATTCGAACTCACTCGTCCTTATGGTGTAACGGTGATATAATAATACGTTTTTTTTATATCGGATAAAAATTTTGACCTCTATAGGGTCCACAAGCTAAAAACGCGATTTTTTGTACAATCAGGGGCCATAATTCAGGAAGTTACGGTCCGATATGCGCGAATATCGAAAGGAACCGAGATCTTTGGGTTATAAACTTACATTTCAAGTTTCAACAAAATCGGATAAAAATTGTGACCTCTATAGGGTCCACAACCTTGATATACCATATTTTTACGCTATTTGAGAACGAACGGCGACCATTTTGTCTGTCAATTTTAGGCCGATTTTCACGAAATTCGAACTCAGTCGTCCTTTTTTAAATCGGATAAAAATTATGACCTCTATAGGGTCCACAAGCTAAAAACGTGATTTTTCGTACAATCAGGGGCCATAATTCAGGAAGTTACGGTCCGATATGCGCGAATATCGAAAGGAATCGAGATCTTTGGGTTATAAAATTACATTTCAAGTTTCAACAAAATCGGATAGAAATTGTGACCTGTATAGGGTCCACAAGCCAAAAACGTGATTTTTCGTACAAACAGGGGCCATAATCCATGAAGTTTCGATCCGATACATGCCAATATCGAAAGCAGCCGAGATCTTTTGGAAATACACCTATATTTCAAGTTTCGTTAAAATCGGATAAGAATTGTGACCTGTAGAGTGTCCACAAACAAATTGTGAACGGACGGACGGACAGACGGACGGACGTCCGTCCGGACGGACGTCCGGACAGAAAGGGGGCGACGGCATAATACGTCCACATGAAAATGTGGGCGTATAAAAAATTAATGCCAAAAAATTAATGAAAAATAATTAATTAATGAAAAATAATTAATTAATGAAAAATAATTAATTAATGAAAAATTAATTAATGAAAAATAATTAATTAATGAAAAATAATTAATTAATGAAATATAATTAATTAATGAAAAATAATTAATTAATGAAAAATAATTTATTAATGAAAAAATAATTGAATTATGAATAATTCATGAAAAAGAATTCATGAAAAAATAGTAATTAGATTATGAATAATTAGATTATAGATAATTAACTTAATTATAAATAATCAACTAAATGAGGAAATAACAAAACTAAATGGGGGCGTGGCGACGCGGGTCCATACGCGGTACAAATAAAACATTTCGCGAACTCATATTCAAATTACGTGGAGGTCACATGATCATTTGTAAATCGCCTGAAGTGCTGCAGTGGTCAAAGTCCCTGTATCCTCTAAAGTGACGCGGGGTCCCGCCGCCAGAAAGTACCGAAACTGACGAAACTGGACCGCGACGAAACTGGAGAAACTGCCTCAGAACGAAAATGGAGAAACTCCCCCAGCGAAACTGGAGAAACTGCCCCAGGACGAAACTCTAGAAACTACCCTCGCGAAACTGGAGAAACTGCTCTCACTAAACTGGAGAAACTGCCCCGCTACGTAGAAAGTCCCCCCACACTATTACTTGCAACACTTATTTTCAGTTACACCCTTTTAATTATTCCACCCAAGATATTTTGATATCGTAATTGTAGAAAATTAAATTACTAAAAGATAGAATTTGTCGAGTGGCAGATTGGCGGCGTGCTGGTTTGTAGCAAGAAGGCATGATATTTCCCTCTTGCAATCTGGGTAGTTTTATTTTAAAGGGACAATAACATTCTTGCTGGCTTGACAGCTCGAGTAAATAAATATTAGCCTCATTTTAAGTATTAGATGTTTAAGTGTCCTACCTGTTGTGTAAATTATCCATTACATCCTATTTTACTTGTCCAGAGGGTTCGAAAATATTTTAAAATCCAAGTCACATTTGAAAAGGTTTACGTTAGGCTTTTCAAATCATTTGGTTGTATTTTTCCAATTTTTTAAATTAGGTGTGTAAGATGAAATTTGTATCATCATTTAATTGGAATACTGTAAAATAGTACAATTTGTTTACCAGAATAAAGATTGGGACATATTATTTTGTTACAACAAGAGTGGTATTGAGCCTTTAAATTAAATGGTATGCCTTCCCAGTACATCGAGGCTAAGCGTCTAATTTTGTAGGTCGAAAACACACAAGTACGTTATGACTAATAAACTTGAGTGCGGCATCTGCAAATTCCGTTGTTGGTGTCAAACTATCGGAACGAGTTTTATAATATCCATGGTATGCTTACCCTTTTTCGAACACCGGATACTACTTTCATTTGAGGGAAATCACATAGCTATCATAGTTTTCTTTGTAATTAAACAATCTGTTTTGTTCCAATCTCATCCAAGGATTGCCAATTTATTTTCGATGCTGTAAAGGTATTAGAATCTGAATCCCTGATAGAATGATATAAATGTCAATTATATTTTTAAGAGATGCTTACAATTATACCCATCGTTCACTTTTAAAGCATATGTTACAAATGACGAACTGTTTTCTCGTTCAAGAATCGTCACTATTCAACTCGTTCTTACGTTTTCGACCAGTGGCGATAATATAATTTGAAATAATGATATCCGATAGACATGCTTGTATATTTTACATGCCGTATGAAGCCACAGTAAACGGAATTCAACTATCAAAATATTTCATTCTCTTCGAAAGAAACTGTCGGCCATTTTGATTACCTGTACAATGTATTGCCATTTCTTAAAGACGAAACGAAACATCAAATAGTCACCGCTTGGATTAATCATTAGGTGTAAATAATGACTTGAGATAGGCTTTATAGATATCACTGGCAATTATCAATAAACTAACCATTAATCCAAGACAAATAATTAGTATTACTCATTGACGCGATCCAGATTATCAGCCAGTTGATTAATTTATAGTATCCCGCCATGAGATTGACACTCAATAATGGTTAATCCAGGATAAATACGATTAGAATTTTAAGATTTTTTTCCACCAATTCTCAAAAAGAATCGCCAGTACCGCCAAACTTTATCGCCAAAATTATCACCAAAATCAAACTTTAATCGCCACTTTCATATTTTTATCGCAAATTGCGACTTTGGCGACCGACAGTGTGAGCCCTGGTTACCACCCCCAAAGTCCACCAAAACATCCTCAGCTACATGCGTTAGTTGACGGCTGTGGCGGTAATTCGGCAAATAACATGACCCTTTTACTCGATACTGTGACAAATAATCAGATTTCATCTTTTTAAAGGAACTAATTTTTATATTTGTTCAAAAACGAGTTGGTTTTTTTTGCAGGTGGAACGGTTGTACAACCAGAAACATTTGGCATTCCTGGCCAGATGGACAGTCTTGTCCACGAGATCGGACACAATCTCGGTTTATGGCATGTCCACCATGGTGTATCTGAGGTGAAATGTGGCGATCCTTGTGAAGAAACTAGTCCATCAATGGTGCATGGAGATATGTGTGCCGACACATTACCTACTCCAAAAAACCAAGCATGCCATGACCCCACGCCTTTAGAAGATACGTGTGGCACGCTTACTTCCTATAAGAATACTCCATTTAGAAATTTTATGAGCTATGCAGGTAAATTCTACATTGGCCAGTTTTAAGATGATTTACTAAATTCAGATTTTATTTTTGGTGACTTTAGTCTTTTTGCACACCGTATTGAACAATATATTTTCAGTATTTATACGTCAAATCCCATCCAAGGAATGCCGATTTTCCAGTTTTCTTTAAATTTACGTGTACAATAGGCCTATCGTTATTTTCAGGTACCGTAAGTATATCAGAATCAGAATCCCTGATAAATTTCAATTTGATTTGCAAGAGATACTTATAATCAGACTCGTCGTTTACTTAAGACCATTTTGGCAGCGGTAATGAAACAAATGGCGGACATTATAATATTGCTTGGTTATAATGTAATTTGTTTATAATAATATTTGTTTATAATGTAAATTTGTTATACTGTAATTTGGTTATAATGATATTCGGTTTTAGTATAATTTGGGTATAATGTTCTTTGGTTATACTGTTATTGTGCATAATATTATTTGGTTATACTATTATTTGGTTATACTATTATTAGGTTTGTAATGTGATTTGTTTACATGTAACTTGGTTATAATGTTATTTGCGCATAGTGTAATTTGGTTATAATGTTATTTGTTTATAATATTATATGGCTATAATGTTACTTTATTATTATGTGATTGGTTTTAATGTTATTTGGTTATAGTGTAATTTGGTTACGATATTATTTGGTTATAATGTTATTCGGTTATACAGTAAATTGGTAATAATGTAATCTGGTTATGATGTAGTTTACATACAATATTATTTGGTTATAATATTATAGAGTAATGTAATTTGGTTATAATGTTATTTGATTATCACGTAAATACATATTTTTAGATGATAACTGTACAAGTGAGTTTACGGTGCATCAAACAGCTAGGATGCATTGTTATCTGGATCTAGTTTACCAACCCTGGAGAACTGATGGCAAATCAGCACCTGTACCAGTAGCACCCAGAGTTAGTAAAATACATACTGTTTTTCCATTAACTATTTACTATTACTCCTAATTCCCGCCAATGCAATGCAATGGTCTTCGGCAACCATGCCGTGTGCGATGGATGAATTTTGCCCAGACAGCGGCGTTTACGCCGATTTTGTCGAATTCCAACTTTCAGGGGTTATTTTATGTGCACACCAAAGAACTACAATAGGGTGCATCATACCCCTTCATGCCATGCAAATTTCGTGTGGGTTTATATGTCAGATGAGTTCGATATTGGCACGTATCGGACGGTAACATCCTGGATTATTGCTCCTGAAAAATCCCGTTTTTAGCTTGTGGACCCTCTAGGTCTCGGGTCATAATTTGCATTTGAATTTAGAAACCGTTCAATTATATCAGGCGCCTTTCCTTTACACTAGTAGTCGCAAAGCATATAATACATATACCAATGTTGTGGACCCTCCGATTTAGATGCAACGTAAAATATGTATTACGGATCAAAAGATCTAGGATAGGGTCGATTTTGGTGCTCATCGGACCGTCCGTTCTGGAGTTATGCCCCTGCCTTTTACGCAAAATATAAAATATGTACAAAGCTTGTGGACCCTCTAGAAGTCACATGTCCAATTTAGATGAAACTTAAATTGTTATGGATTACAAGGTCTCCGGTAAGTTTGATTTTGGTGCGCATCCGACCTTCCGCTAAATTAGTGAAATTGAGTACAGATTACCTGAGTAAAGTTAGTAGTGAAGAGCGAGGGACATTACCAAAACATTCTTCAAGTTGTTGAAAGTGACAGAAACCTAAATCCTAACTTGCGCAAGAACCCATGAAAATTCCAAACTGTCGGTTGCCCAGATTCAATTCACACTTGAAGTCAGTTATTCAACAGAGTAACAAATGGTCCGTGCGATCTACAAATAAATAAGTGGGAAAATTTGAAAATGTGGGGGGGGGGGGGAACGACTCATCCGAACGACTAGACGCTGTACCATGCCAGACCTTCCGCCCTATATCACTGACAAGGGGCAACCAGGTTTGAAACTCCCGAGGAACTTTCTCGGCTAACACCGGATATGAAACTGGGGCTTTATTCAATGAGCTACCGTGGCTCCCACTTTCCCCTCAAAGTAGATCCGACATTGCGAGTCAACTAATGCCGTAGAGAATCAAACATTACCATAACTATCGATTTTAAGTTATTTTAAACCCAGACAATAACATAATTATTATTGTGTATTTCTTGTTTCTTTCTTGTGCAACTTCTTTATTTAGATAGCGTCGTCTCAAGATGACAGGATAACTATAGTGTGGATACCACCTCTCAGATCACCAGTCGTGAATATGGATACGGTATGTAATATGTGTACACCGGATGGCGCACTAATTCAGAATGCTGTTAATGCTACCTCTCCAGCACCAACAGATCGATGGTCTCCAGAACAAGCAACTGGTATGTTTTAACCACCAAAATTAAATCGGTGCATTGCACATGATATATCCAATTGAAATATATGTTCCTTAAGCATTATTGGTTCATCTATTCGATCTGCTAAATCTATTTGTATATCAAAGTATAACATTTCAAATGACAAGGAAATAATGTGTTATATACTTTTAAGTTAAAAAAAAGTATTGACTTGGGAAATAAAATGAAATGTCATACCTGTCTCCACTAATGAAATGTTGAAGTTTTGCCCGGACAGCAGCGTTTACATTGTAGCTTAAAAAAAAGCCCGGGCGTATTTCATATTTTACGAAGAGGCCATGGAAGTGGAGTGTTTGGGGCACTGGACATTCAACATAGATGTCCCGAGTTTGAGCCCGGGTGGCGAAATTGTTTGGCTTAGATATTATATAATCCTCGAAATTTAGAATTCGAAGAAGTATAGGCGGGATGGAAGTGTGTAATTGAAATTGATCATAAATGTTAGATAACAACCAAGTACATTTATTGTCCAGGCCCCCCTGATGCTGAAATGTGTGATTCCAGTATCTTTGCGTGGATGCCAAAAGTTTACAATTGCAGAAAAAAGAATTGTCAGATAGATTTGTACTTTCAATATCCTGTTATACCTGAAAGGTGAGTGATCATTATACCTAGGACACACTGGGCGGATGTTTATTGCTAATTTTTCTCGCGAACCCGTCGCCTACGAATTTCGTCTAGTGTGCCTGGATGGACCTGCTATATTCGACACCATTCGCCAATATAAAAAAGGTTTGATGTTTACCGCCCGAATATATATCGCCGCCGACTTGTTTGATGAGTGTGTCCATTCCGACGAAGAGTATCGCGAGTTCTAGAATTCCCTAGTCAATCAAAACTGTTCGAAGCTTCACATGACCATCAAAATGGCGACCTCCAGCGACAAGTGGTCAAGCGTGCATCGACACATACTCGAAATATGTTTCATGCGACTTATTCTCCGAGTAATTGGCACAGGCATTCGCCTTGTGTGCCCACTGCGTTGCCCAAGTAACTTAGACGGCATAAACTTTGGCTGAAACAAATAAAATTCGCATAGTGTGTCCCAGGCATAAGGGAATTGATATTTGAACCTTAAAGGGTAATGTTACCATCCATCAATTTTACACATGTGATGAAATGGGTTAAACAAATTCCCCAGATAATTTTAAAGTAAAGATTATTACTATTGTTGATCCATAACGTCTAATAAAGTATCTGATTAATAAAGGCAGCGTGGTTTGCAAAGTTTGAGCGCAAGGTCCATTGCGATTTGTGGCCCATGTATTCGGTTCTTGGAATACAACTCCTCATCTCCAGGGGGATTATAAGAGAGTCGACTATTTGCCCGTTACCAATCTCTACTTCAATCAGTAACAATAAATGTTTTAATAACACTCTTCCATATTGGAAAATCCTACCAAAAGTAGACATGACATTCTTTTGAAACTACGAGCTTACAAATGAGGGCAGCTAGAAGCATGCTTCATTAAAGCACCGTCCATCTCTCTACTCTTGGTTGGACCCCCCTTCATACAGAGAGGGTTGTTTATAATAAAGCTATGTTATTATTCTAAATTATTACATTAAAACAAACTCTTGTATCAAAAATTGGTGTTCCTTTTCATACCAAAATGCAAAAAGAAAGCTACGAAATGTACTTTCCACTATGTCTGTATAGAGCAGTCTTCTTTTAAAACTGCTATTGCAAGTCATTTTATTTTGTTTTTAAACGTGTTTATCGTAAACTAAATGTATCGTCACATCCGAACTTTCACGTATTCTATTGTATCAGATTTATAAACTTGTGCACGGCAACATTGTCAACATCGGTGTTTTATTTGCCAACGCTTTATTTTAGATTAACCATTTGGGTCATTTGGAATGCTGCTATTGGTATAAAGAAACTCAAGTTATATTTTGAAGGCGGTCGGCCTAAAACAATGAAAAACCTTCCAGCGCATTGTGATATGCCATTTACAACTAGATTAAGTGTTTCACGAAAACTCACCAAGGTATGTTATTTTATAATTGTTGAAGAACTGTAATGTATTAACCGAAAACTATATGAAGAGGTTTTTCGTGAAAGTAAAACAAATGTTCATAATTACGCAAGTTTCTAAATAAGAAAGCAATGCACAGGTGTAATGCAAATTTACTACAATAATTTGCTACCCCCGACTCTCACTTAAGCTATGTGAACCCCCTTAAATGAGATGTAATATAACAATAGCTATTATAGAAAAAATTAATCATACTCTGCCTATTACACGACTGCTTATGTCCTGTGTTCTAATAAGTGATCGATCTTATAGATATTGGTTATTGCCTTTGTAATAAATTTCGTTTTACTCGATCTGTACACTAAGTTCTCGAAAGGGGGTTATGTCTTGGATTGTGATGTAATAACATGCTACCTGGGGGACAATTTTCAATTTTCAATGTTTAATTTTGTTTTCTTCTGAACAGCTACGTATTTATACAAGAGATCAGTATG